TCATACTTAGCATTCTCCTGCTTGGGAGATGCTATTGGGATCCCAGAAATGATGAACTACATATTCTCAATTTTGTTAATTTCCCCAAAGAAAACAAAAGGTGTAGATAACATCACATTAATGAGTATAGAGTAATCAGATATTATGGCATTGACAAAATGATTCAACATTTCCCCGGGCTTCTCAGAAGAAGAATTAGAATTATTGTAGAACGAGTGTTAGTAAATATGTTCCTGTATAGTATTTTTGTTAAGGTTATCTCATATGCAGAATTATTCCCTACCAGTCCCGTTAACATTACTTTAATCAGTTCATTATCTGTTAGGACGCTGATCATTTAAATTAAACATGAGGAATTTTATTGTGTCAGTCTCTTTTATTTGGTTGTATTGTTGCTCATACCCTTTTTTCTTTTAGATTTTCTATAAATCTAATTGAACATGACTCAATTAATATTGAGCTCATCAATGTTAACATTGATCGCAATTTGTGATGTAGGGAAGGATTCCTCTCCAAATTTGATAATTCTCCTCGTACCGAGGTGAATAGCTCTCAGTTTGATGTGCATTTTAATGATGTTAGTAGTGGCCAAAGAGATGAGCGATTTCAATCACACAGTGAGAGTGAGGTCACGGATGAAGGCATGAGTCAGCAGGAATCTAGTGTACAAATTGCTGAAGTAGAGGAGCCTGTTTTAGACAGTGAAGAAAATATCCGAGAAGTGTCATCCAACATTGAACGTATTAGAGAGAATGATGTCACTAGAACATGGGAGGATAATGCTGATGAACAGTCGTGTCAAGCTGATGCTATTGATGGCAATGGACATGGAGAAGTATTTCATGAACACAATGAACGTAGAAGTGAGGCTAGTTATGTGAATGAGTTAGTTGGCAATACATGTAATATGGAACAGAACGCAAATGGAGAATACGTCACTGGGCACCTGGAATTCGATTGGCAAGATGCTTCAGTTCAAGGAGATGAGTTGCAAGAGTCGGCAATTGAATTTGAAGAAAGTGAGTGGCAACAGGTAACCAATGGTGCAGTTAGTGACTGGATGAACCGTAGTGAAGAAGGCGTGGGCGGAAGTTGGGAAGCAAGCACCGCTAATCGGTGGTTTCAGGGAACTTCTGGTATTGAAGTTGTGGAGCCAGATCAGATACAAGAATCGCAGGGGAACTGGCAAGGACAAGATTTGCAAGAGGCTATTGATAGTTGGGTAGACATGCCTTCTGGAGAGGAAGGTTCTATTCCGAGAATTGGTTCATTTAATTTCCCCGAAGATGAAAATGTTTACAGCATGGAACTTAGGGAGCTTTTCAGCAGGTATATGATCTCATTTCTTTTGACTTTGGGTCTTGATATACTTAAAACCGTTTCTGAACTTTCTTTTGTTCTCCAGGAGACGTGTCTCTAGTCTTCTTCGAAGTGGTTTTCGCGAGAGTCTCGATCAGGTGTTGCAATCCCATGTGGAAAGGCTAGGTCATGCTTCTAGTGACTGGGAGCTAGATGATATATCTCCGCACTTAACCAATCTAGACCAGGGACAGCTGAATGGTGATCAAAATGCAGCTCAATCGGATGGTGCTGAAGAAAATTCATTTATTTCCTCATCATCACTTGTCTATGCTTCTCAGCCCCTTTGGGATGAAGAGTTCGGTGGTGCAAATAGGCCACTAAATTCTCATCAATACTTTGGAATTGTGAGCTCTACCATCCTTAAATCTAGTACTGGATTGTGAACTTGATTTATTAATTGTTTAGCTTGACTTGAGACATGGAGTTATCCCTAGATAGAGTGGAATTCTGAACTATTTTAATCATTTTTGCTTTTTCTTAAAATTGCACTTTCAGATCTGACTATAGGACGTTTGCTGAGACGCTAAGTATATGTTCATTAAAGAGGAGGGGAAATCGATATACTTCTTAATTTCAGAACCATATAACATTGAATAAACATAATAAATGAAAGAATTTATCCAAATTAATGCAAGGTTTGATGACTTTTATATTCTTAGTTTCTAGGCATCAGTGTTGGGCATGAACATTTCTATCATTCCACGTGTCTTGCTTTTTCTGATGAACGGATGAAATGGCACATTAATGTACTTTCGTAACCTTTAGTCTTGACTCTTGAGGGCAAACTGTTCAATTTTTATAGCTTTTTGTTCCACAAGCTTCTAACTTGTCATGATGTGGATAAGGGCTGGGAGGTGATCAATGAGTTGAGGATCGATGTGGCTAGGATTCAACAGAAGATGAACAACATGCAGAGAATGCTGGAGTCGTGCATGGACATGCAAATTGAGTTGCAGCGTTCAATGCGGCAAGAGCTTTCTGCAGCTTTAAATCGATCGGTTGTTTCAACAGGTAAAATTTCTGCGATGTAAATATTGATATTCATGTTGTGTAAACGAGCTAAATTCTATATATTATAGCCACCATTTGGCAAATTATATATGGTTTATAAAAAGGAATATAGTGGGACCTACTAGTAATTATGAATGTGTTATTGAAATTATGTTTGACTTTGACTAAATTTACAAACATTAGTATCCAAAGGTAGGCATAGTGTCCAGTACTTTGTACCTAACATGCAGCACTAAAAGTATTGCCTGTCACTAGTGCTTTTCGTGTTCTATTTTGCTTATTTTCTCATTTTTTCAACTTTAAATAAACATTTGTTCACCGTCATTATATGCAGATACATGTTGGGGTAATAAGCCCAGGGACGAATCTCGATGGGATCATGTGATGAAAGGAATATGTTGCATATGTTGTGATAGTAAAATAGATTCCTTGCTATACAGGTAAAAGTTGCATTATTTATTATTTGCATCGTTCTTATGAACCTATGTAGTTGTTTTGATTTAGTAGTTAGATATTATAGTAATTTTGGTTTTCTTAAAATGCAACTTAGTCTTTTCCCTTGTTTAGGATTTAGGATCTTGTCCGTTAAGGGTCTTACATTATATTCTCTTTATAGTCTTTTTCGTATGATTGAATAATAAGATTGCGTCTTGTTTAACATGGTATCAGAGCTTGTTCTTTCTAGCTACTGAGCATGGCAATGTGAAAGCATTTTAAACTAATTTCGGTTTTAAATGTATTCTTGCAGTTTTTTCTCATCAAGTCCGTCTTTCATTTATACAGGTGCGGGCACATGTGCAGCTGTTCAAAATGTGCAGATAACTTGGTCCAAGAGAAGGGGAACTGTCCAATGTGTGATGCGCCAGTAGTTGAGGCAATCCAAGCCTACTTCGTACAGTAATGGAAGAGGAAATATAGATGGCAGAATGTGTGAAAAGAGAGCGAGGAATAAATAGGTATGGAAAAGGTATGAAAAGAGTGTGAAGACAGAAGTTGAAATAAGCCGGTTGCTATATAGATACAGATACTCCAGGTAAACTTTATCTCCCAAGCAGTACTGTAGCGACTCAGGCCTGTGCCAATCTTATCCCTTACGGATTTCTTTCACGTCCTCTGGTATTCAAACTTAAGATCACTTAGTGATTTAAGTTGAAATTTTAGTACCGTTTGAACAAGTACCAGGGGGTGGGAGGTAAAATAGGCACATGCATGGGTTGTCACAAATACGTATTCTCGAAAGTACTACTACTTTATCACGAGTATTACTTTCCAATGATTTCGATCTTGAGTTAGATGAATGTGTTTTACATGACAGGTAGCAACCTGAAATATTCTTAAAATTGGAATAAGTTACTATCGATGGCATGAACAGATGGCTTATTAAATTTTGCAACTGCTGATTCGTGCATTGTTGAGTGTAAGATTTGGTTCTCTCAAGCTTTGGTTGGCAGATTCTCTTTTGATGAGGGGCACCATTGTCAACGCTTCTTGATTCTCTATTTTCTTGTGAATCATTTTTTTGACTGTTATTTTGGCTGAGGTTCTTGCAAGAGAACTGAACTTCTTGCATTGTATAAACTATAAATTAAGCTTCAAGTTTGGAATATTTATTATTATCTAAGTTAATTATTTTCGAATAATTTGGTATGACATGAAGATCTCTTGGGACATTTTTCTCCAACTTTTTGCTTCTCTTCTAATTTATGTTGAAATATGTGTTTTGTGGAATATTTTATTTTTCTATTTTTGCCAAATATTGAAAAAATAATTTATACTATTTATTTTTAGTGAAAATATTTGGTAGAACCAAACCTAATTAGAGACCGAAGGTTCACATACGAATTTGATTTCAGTATTTACGTGAAAATATATGGTTCTATTTACGGAAAATTATAAGTATAATGAATGATGTTCGAGTATTAAAATATATGGTTCTATTTATGGAAAATTCTAAGTATAATGAATGATTTT